TTTGAGATCATGAACTTCTACGTTTGCTTTCCTATTTGGAAAATTCTCCTTCTATATCCATCCAACTTAATTGGGTGTTTTCTAAAAATAAAAAGGGGTGGCTATCTACATTTAATGTGTGAGTTATGTGAATCCCAGAGTATTTATTCTAGTGGGGGATGGGCTCACTTTAGCAGCTGAGCTCACTAAGGTAGCCATGTGGCTGGTGACCTCATGGAGAGGAAAGCAGCCTTGTGATCTGGTCTTCGTTTTGGTTGCTGACATCATCAATATGGGGACAGCCACATGGCTTGGTTGCCATGTTCGATAGTAACATTTCCAAGATGGCAGTGACTCATGTGACCACATGGCATAATTCACAATGGTGACGCCCAGAAATTTATTAATACTACTGAGCCAAATGGGCTCATGATAATCTGAGACTTCCCTGGACTGTAGGCATTTAATCAGATGTCTTAATCCTCTTGCAATTTTTTTCTGTTCTGATTTTCACTTTGGATTTTTGATGGGATCATAAAAGAGAAAACCAATCAATTCCAAGAGCTGCTATTGCCTTGTAAAAAGGTCAGTGCATTTTTATGTCAGATTAAGGAGGTAATACCAGACCTCCACAATGTGAGTTTAAGTTTTAACATTGTTTTGACCTGTTTCTAAGGGAGATTGTTTTCGGCTTTAACTTCTTTTGTACAGTATATTTACTGGTTTTTAAATGACACTATTTTGGGTTTTTGACATTGTTTGAATGGTATTTACCTGTTTTTTAAAGAGATTATTTTGTATTTTGACATCTTTTATATAGGATATTTGCTGATTTCTAAAGGTGACTATTTTAAATTTTTACATTGTTTTGCATAACATATTTGTTAGTTTCTAAAGGGAAGAGCATTCTGATATCCAGACGGACTGATAGGCCTTGGGAACAAAAGTTCCCATAAAAATCCTGCCTTTTGAGCTGAATTTCCTGATTGGCTGACCAACTGATTAACACATTTCAATAGGACGGGAAGAGTTTGGAATGTTGCAGATCCAGAGCCTATTCACAAATCATCTGGGGACATCTTTAGCCCCTTTAATAGCCACTCCTGGCCCACTTCTGTTTAGGAATATCTTGTGATAAATAGAATGTATTAACAAAAGAAACCTCTCATAGCTGGGCATGGTAGTGCACACCTTCAGTCCCAGTACTCCGAAGGCAGAGGCAGGTGGATCTCTGTGAGTTCAAGGCCAAGGCCAGCCTTGTCTACATAGTGAGTTCCAGGCCAGCTGGGACTACAGGGAGACCCTGTTTCAAAAAGACAAA